GTTTGAAATTTCTAATGGTGAGGGTTCCTTGTCTAGTTTTCTAAGAATAGTCAATAGAAAAGTCCTATGGCTAGAATTTAGGTTACTAAAGAGGAAAAACTAAACCTCAACCAAAATTGAGGTCAACAAATGATTAATGACCCAATATTACATTGGACTGCAATTTTAAAAGTCCAATAAGTTGCTATCATTTCAGCTCCTAATGCATCCAATGCCCAAGTTGGTGAGGAGAAATGAAGAACATATTTTCTTAGGGAGTTCCTAAAAACTCCCCCAAAACTAGCAGGTCCTTTTAAAAAGCAGCTATCAGTATTTTCTTTCATCCAACCATCAGGAGGAGGAGCCCACTCAATCAATGAGAACTTGAAACTATGTTGGTCAGTACACTGAGGTACCCAATGCCTGCAGATATTAGGGAAGTTGTGATATTTAATGGTTTTCTGTAGGTAGGATGTACAATGAGTAGTAACAAATTTAGCAATAGGTGGTGAATCCTCAAATTTAACTTGATTCCTGCACATCCAGATAAACCAAGCAACAACACAAGGGATAACCTGTAATTTAGCTTGTTGCCACCCTTTCTAGCAGCTATAGAAGTTGTTCTAACTGAGATTGAGTGTATCAGTTTTTAATTTTGTTAAAAACTTAGTCCAAACTTTTTGAGAGAAACTACATTTAAAGAAGAGGTGATCTAGACTCTTCTCCTCCTCATGGCACAAAAGACAGCAAGAAGGTCCCCTCAGCCCTTTCATTTTCAGTATATCATCAGTTTGGAGCATAGACTGCCATAGTCTCCAGCTGAAGAAAGACATGAAGGTAGCCAGATATTTTCCCCAAACATCAATACCCCATTGAACAGAAGGCCATTGAAAGAAAGTTTGATAGATATAAGCAGCAACTTTCTGGGAAGTGGCTTTTTTAGAAACAATTCTATCTCTTTGTCCAGAAAAGATAGGTGTTTGTTGGATAAGTTGTAGCTGCTCATTGTTTAGAATTTTAGACAGTAGTGTTGTATTCTACTGATTTTCAGTTTAGTAATCTTTAACCATATCATGCAAACTAGAGTTGGAGGTTAAACCTTTAATTTTTCCACCATCCCAAGTCCATCTATCTAGCCAGAAATTTATTTGTCCTTCTCCTAACTCCCAAATGAAAGTGTCTTCAACTTGCTCTCTAACATCCAATAACTCACCCAAAAGTCTAGAATCTCCCAACTTTTTGTTAACAAGACTTGGATGTACAAGTCTACAATATTTCCCCTTCATGAAAACTACTCAAAGACTATCTTGTGCTCTAAATTTGATCCAGAGTTTGCATAAATTAATGAAACTCATGTGCCAAAAATCTTTAAATCCCTAGCCTCCAGCACAGTATGGTATACAAAGCTTTTGCCAAGGAAGCCAGTGTACTTGTTTCTTCTGTCTAGCCCATAAGAACTTATTAAATATTCTCCCCAGCAGTTGCTGAGTTCCTTTCTTCATTGTAAATATTTGGAGAGCATATGAAGAAAGTGTAGTAAGGATCCTTTCTCCATTGGAGAAAAATGAATGGGTCGAGCATTGAAGTTGATTCTTAATTTTATCAATGACTTCATTGAACTTTATCTGCTTGTTTCTGCCCTTAAGTAAAAGAACACCCAGATACTTGATAGGCAAAGAGGAAAAGCTAAAACCAGTATAGCTAGACATTCAATGCTTTATCTTTTGAGACACGATAGTGCTAGGAAAAAATTGGCACTTTGGTATATTTCGTTCCATACCTGAGGTGAGCTGGAAATGCATAAGGGCCTTATAAAGCATTCTAATAGCATTCTTAGTGGCCTTGAAAAATATACTCACATCATCTGCATAAGTCAGATGGTTGATACACACATTTAATCTATGCTAAAAAGCCAAATGGGGAGATCTTGAGAACAATTGATTCAGTAGCCTAGAGAAATAATTCATAGCCAAAATGAAAATTGTAGGGGACAAAGGGTCCCCTTGTTTGATTCCTCTTGATGAAGAAAAGAAGCCATGACTAGAACCATTAATAAGCACAGAGTGATTATTATAAAGAAGCCATCTTTTAATCAACAAGATAAAACCCTCAGCAAAGCCCCGAGCAGCCAGAGTTTCTAAGATGAAATTACAGTTGATAATGTCATTAGCCTTCTTGATATCTGATTTATAGATAACATTACCTCCCCTACATTTCTTGTCCAAATCTAGCAACATCTCTAGAGCCAACAATATGTTATCAGTTATGGATCTTCCTTTAACAAAGGCAGTCTGGTTAGATCAAACTAGGTGTTGAAAATGTGGCTGAATCCTGAAGACCAGTACTTTGCTTATTACCTTGGTAATAATATCAGTTAAACTAATGGGCCTGAAATCTCCCCAATTATTTCTGATCTGGTTCCTAGGAATCAAAGTAATAGTTGAGGAGGTAAAGTATCTAGGTGGATTAATTCCTCTAAAAAATTCTTGTACAACAGAAATGAAGTCTTCCTTAACCACAAGCCAACAACTTTTATAAAACCTGCAGTGAAGCCATCAGGACCAGTAGTTTTATCATCATCAATAGAATCAAGAGTAGCTCTAATTTCTACTTCAGAGGGGATTTGATCTAGGGTCAGCCTACTGACATAATCAGTACAATCAACAAATAAATTAGCATCAACATTGGTTCTAGTAGATGGGTGTGAATTAAAAAGTTGTTGAAAAAACTTTACAACATCTTGAGCAATGTCATCGGCCTGAATTAATCTCTTCCCTTCAGAGTTTTTAATCTCCAGAATCATATTGCATTTTCTTCTATAATTAATGCATGCATGAAAGAAACTAGAGTTTCAGTCACCCTCAAAGAACTTGGTAATAGCAGCTTTCTGTTTCAAAAAGCCTTCATTATATGTGATGTGTGCAAGAAGTTCTTCATTGGCATTATGTAGATCTCTCTCAGCTTGTAAGCCCTTTTGGAAATCTTCTTCAATACTATCACCTAATTCTGAGCAGCTTTTAAGTTCTCATTAACATTATCAAAAGTGTTCCAATTCCAATTATTTAAATGGATGGCCACCTTTTTTTGTAATTTCCACAGATTTATCCATGGCCCATAATCTTCATTGACGATCCAATCATTTGTAACTTCCTTGATGAAATTAGGATGAAGAGTCCACATGTTCTGAAATCTAAAGGGAGAACCACCAGACTTCACAGCATTTTGAATAGAGCAAAGAATGGGTCTATTGTCTGACCCAGACATGACAAGGTGAGTGATGATTGTATAAGGGAAGGTTTGAAGCCACTTAGAGTTTCCCAACATTCTATCAAGTCTTTCCCATAAGACACCCCTTCTCCAAGTATATTTAGGACCCCAAAGGCCCAAAGCAAATAACTGAGCATCTATAAGGAATTCATTCAACTTCAACATAGTAGTTTAAGATGGAGGCCTCCCTCCTTTCTTTTCATCAGATGAGGTAATATAATTGAAATCTCCCCCAACAATCCAAAATGAGTTTATGGAATGGCTGATGTTGAAAAGCTCCATCCACAACAACTCTTGATTTCTTGGAAGACAACTGGCATAAAAAAAAGTGGCATAACCCACCTGAGCTCCAACAATAAATTGAATATGTAAACATTGGGGACTATTCAGAACAACATTCCACTGTAATTTAGCTCTAGCAAACAACCAAATCTTATTATTATGGTTAGAAAAATGGGAAAATTTGGGAAATTTTGTGATAATATTAGAAGAGTTCTTAGAGACCATGTGTTCCAAAAGAGAAAAGCACCATATTTTATGAGTTTTCACAAGATGTACCAGCCTTGTGAGAGAGTTGGTGTGTGCAACACCCCTATTATTCCAACATAAAAACTTGATCATTGTGAAAGGGTTCTCCCTTTCCTTCTGGTTCTCTAATTAGAATCTATCAGCTGATTAGTTCCTTCAAAAGAGGGAGCTTCCTACATCAGCTTCTATTCCATCTTCCCTTTCTTTTTCCTGTTATTCTTTTGAAGTTGACATTCTACTGTAATCACCTCAGCTATTAATTCCACAGTAGAATTATTGACTTTGTGTGGACTGATATCTAGTTGACTTCTTGTAATTTCTCCTTGCCTGCCCTCCACCCCCTGCTCCTGAACATTCATAGCAGAAGTGGTTTTTTCATGGACCTCTTCCAAAATACTTGGTAGCTTAGGACAAACTTCCACATCAATTTCTCTACTGACTTTGAATGCTTCTTGTTCATTAGCTCTTCTGTTATCCTTTCCTAAAGTTACAATAGACCCTCCCTGAGTAGGCATACCACGAGGAGTTATTTCTCAAGATGGTGGATGCAGCCTATAACATTTATCCATATTATGCCCAAACATCCTGCAGTGAAGGAAAAATAATGGTTTTTTCTCTATAATGATGCTTTGCCAATACCCTTCCTCAAGGGTTCCAATCCAAACTCTCTTTATTTTTGGCAATGTGATATCTCTTTCTACCAGCACTCTAGCACCTGCTAGTCTAGCCAAATTGTAGGTTAGGGCATCAACTTTTAACGGACAACCAGGTACCATTCCAATTTTAAAAAAAACATTTTGGTGGTAATATTAAATAGGGAGGTTAGGAAATTTAAACCAAATTAGTACAATTGGGGGTTCTTTACTTGGATCAAATCCAGGTGTCCATTCTAATAATTTCATTGGGGTTCCAGCAATCAAGAGAATTTATTTGGAAAAAACTTTAGCATAATCCTCCTCATTAGACATTTTGATTAATACATTTCTTTCATCCATTAAACCTAGCTGCCAAGCACCAGTGAGTTGGAGTTCCTCAAAGAATTTCCTAACATAATCCACTTTTGAATGGCCAAACTAAAACTTGCCTATCAAGGTGAACTTTATAGATTCATTCAGAGTTTGTACCTCCCCAGGAGTAAACAGAATTGCAAGTTCACCCTCTTTGATTCCAATAGGGAAAATATATGGGAAGGAAGTAAGTCTTGCCAACTGCAGCATCATGCAAAACTTGAGGAAAAACTAGATGATCAAAATTTTTAAGCAACTCTTGCCCTCTTCCCACAACTCCAACATAAGTGGCTTGGGTTCACTGAGCATTTACTTCCATGTTAATAGGACTAAACTCCATTAATGCAGCTTCAACACTCACAAAAAAGAGAAGGTTCCAAGTGCCAGAGAGACAACACACAACTCCACTCAATAGAATAGTAAAGAGTCGAGAGACAACACACAACTCCACTCAATGGAATAGTAAAGAGTCTCACCCAACAACAGTCAGATAGTGCAGTCACCAGGGGTCACCAACCAGTGGAAACCACCAGAAAGCCACGAGTACACCTAAAAAAACTTAAAACCAAAAACCAGTCTGCCTTCCACTACTAGGCACCAAAGGAAGTGGGAAAAGAATCCCACAGCCAAGGAGCAGCCAGAGAAAGGTTCAATGAAAGAGTAACTCCTATGACAAACATAAGAGACCTTTACCACCACCTGAGATAAGAACTAGCAGGTAGGTTGCCACAACTAACCACCACTTCAGAGCTCTTCTTCAGCCAGCAACCACCAATCTTCATCCTTTCTAAAACACTAGCAGAGCACCAAAATCTTCAGCCGCCAACATATATATATATATAATGGTGACGCAAGGTGCTCTGGTAGCGCTTCTTCAATGGAGATTCCTCTCTACTAGCCGATAGGTATGGCTTAGGGAGTGTGGTTGTAGCTTCTTGTGAGACTACTTCTTCTTGCTCCCCTCTTCTTAGTCCTTTTTTAAAGTCATACGTCTCCCCGGGCTCAATTTTTTTTAATCATTTGGTTACTATTCCATTGAACTATTGTAGCTAAGCTGGGGATTAACTCTCTTTCCATATGGCAGCTGACCTGCTTGCAATGGACCCAAACTTCATGGGCAAAACAATACTATGCAACTATAACAAGAGTTGAGCTGAGTGGATCCTCACTTGGAGAAAAACTAGTTTTCCTATAAGCTTACTATGATGCAATGGAGGTCAAAATGCAATGTGACCGGATCCTAGAAAGTAGCAAGAATGCTGGAAAGCATGCACTTATCTTCTCTAAACAGAAAGTGGCAACCTAAAAGAGATTTACACACTAATTGGAAAATTTCTAATGGCACATCCAAAGATGGACTTAATTAGGAAAACATTTGATGACTTGAAACTTGTTGGAAATTGGAAGATAGCACTTTTTGTTGGCAGGCATGTTATGATTCACCTCATAAAGGAAGATGACTATGCTAGGGTGTTCTCCAAAAAATTCATACAAATTGAAGAGACCACAACGAAGCTACTGAACTGGACCCCTGCATTTGATCAAAAGAAGGAATTGCTAATAATCCCAATCTGGTTTAAACTCCCTAATTTGAAATTGCACTTCTTTAACCATAGAGATTTTTTCTCCATTGGGGACTTACTGGGTAGGCCAATGAAACTTTATATTTCAACTTCAACTTATCAAGACCATATGTTTCCCGGATCTTAATTGAAAGGGATATCACTTTGCCACTATTTGATGAGGTTTGGCTAGGTACTGCAAATGATGATTATTGGCAACCAATCATAATGGAATAGCATCCATTCTACTGTACTCATCGTAGTATGTTTGGGCATACTATGGACCATTTTTAAAGACTACACCCTAACCTTAAACCTTCAAGGGGATGGAACCAAAACAATAGAGTGGAACCAGGGATGGCTAACACTGTAGGTGCTGCTAAGAAACATTTCCAACAGGAACCTGTGAGGACTAGTGTGATGGGCTTTGATCTCAGAGAAGATATTAATGTGGAGCAGACACAACAGATTCATTCTAAAACTCCTATTGAGCTGGAGGCACAACTTTTGGCCACTGTCTTGGCTCCTTTCGGCAAATATGACAATCCTCCTCTATCTAACCCCCATAATCCTCACAATGCTAAGAGTTGTCCAGCTACCCCTCAGTGGTCCATTTCAAAAATTGCCCATGTACAAATGGGTATTGCATTTGAAGCAGAAAGACAAGAACTACATCATAATGATCCAAGGAAGGGCAAAGACCTTGATAACTATTTATATAATACTAATATCTTGAACAATCCTGACACTAGCCATGAATAGATCCTTTAGGAGACCCTACTTTCCACCCAAATACTTGTTGATAACTAGATTACGATATCATCTAAAAAGAAGAAAAGAGCTTCTTTGGAATTAAGAAGTTTGCACGTTAATACTAGTGGACCCCTAGAGGCCTTTGAAAACCTTCCTAAAACTATGGGTAAGGGTATCAAGCCTCCATGATCAATCTTCTGTGTTGGATTGTTAGGGGAATTACTCATTCTAGTTCCCTTAAAAGGCTCCTCCACTTAATTAGGATGTACAAGGTTTGTGGTTTTGCTTTGTTAGAACCTATGGCCACCATTAACTTTAGCAAGATCAATAAGAAGTTTCATGAATATCAGTTGGCTACCAATGTAAATCAAAAGAATTGGGTTCTATTAAGAATAGAAGTCAAGTGGACCATGTTATTGAGTTACCCTGAATTCATCCATTTTCATATTTATATTGGTGATTGTGATTATTACTCCACCATTGTGTATGCTAGGTGCACAATTACTACATAGGAAGACCTTTGGACTAACATTGTCCTTATAAGCCACTTTGCTTCCCACCGTTGGTTAGTTGGTGGGGATTTCAATTGCATTGGTTCTCCTTTCAAGAAAAAGGGGGGAGGACCCCTTGAACTTACCGAACTCAATATGTTTAATGATTTCATCATGCTAGTAAGGATTCATGACCTGTGGTTCCAAGGGAATATATTCACTTATAGAAGGGGTAAGCTATGAGAGAGGCTGGATGATTCTTTGTTAATGAAAACTGGCTGAACAACTTTTGCTTGACCATAGTTACTCGTTTGGCACTGCCTAGTTCTGATCACAGACCACTACAGATCTCCATTTCCAATTCTACTCAAATCCAAAAATCTCCTTTCAGAATCCAGAATGTCTGGACTTCCCCTCTTTCTTTTCTAGATGTTGTGACTAAAGTTTGGAAACCCTTGGGAAAGTTTGAACCTCCAAATTTCACTGTGTGCCCATTTGAAGAGATGGAATTAGACCAACTTTGGAGATGTCCATCTTAAGGTAATTGATGCTGAAAGAAAGGTATCCAAAATTGAGAAAGAGGATGAGGAGGGCTTGGATTCTAAATCTATCTTCATTTATGCCAATGAGGCTCTCCTCACCACTGTCACTTTCCAATAAGCTTTCCTTAGGAAAAAAGTTGTTATATCCAAATTTATGGAGGGAGATAGGAACACTATGTATTATCATGCACGCTTTAAATATAGGAGAGCTTGTAATATGATTCTGAAAATTCAAGATGCTGATGGTCATTGGCTCCTTCAGGAGCAAGACATTGCTGAGAA